CCCCCGCATCCAATAAAGGATGGAGATTCTCCTTGGCTCTCTTCTTGTCCTTAATGTATTTGAAAAAACTTTTTTTGTTGTCTTTAATGACAGCGGCCAGGTTGCGTTCTAGCTGGGCTTTTGCCTTTCTCATTTCCTCTCTGCACGACCTAACGAGATCCCTGTACTCTTCCTGAGTCGCCTGCCCCTTCTTCCACAAGCGATAAACTCTCCTTTTTTTCCTGAGTCCCAGCAAAAGCTCCCCGTTCAGCCAGGCCGGTTAGATGGTTAACAGTCCTTTTTACTTTAAAAATCACTTCATACATGTCTTCTCTTGTATGTTAATTTTCTTAGATAGCTTTAACTCTTCTCTATTTCCTTTAGTATTTTGTTGCACTCTGTAGAGGCAAAATCTGAAATAACTCAGTTCCTCCTGTACATGGCCTTGCAGACATTTGGAACTAACAGTGAAGTATCATCTCAATGTGTTTGGCTTTTTTTCCAGAGCCTTTGCAAATAAATTTATTGGCTTTAAGATAAACACTTAGGAAAGCTGACACATCTTCTGTGCAAAGGGCTGCAGATGTTGAGTCTGCAACTCTACAACTGCATGTTTCCTAAACAGTTCATATTGTGTTATGCTATATTGCCTAACAGTATCTGTCTTCACTTTTTCAGATCTAGTTTATCAAGGCTTATAATAGAAACTGGAGAAATCAACAGAACAGAGATCTAAGTTATGTCAATTGACAGTTACCTTCTAAGTGCTGGCATTCTGTGTCATCCTAATCTGCTTTTCTATAGCCCTTGTTATTGTAGTCCATGGGTGCACAAATGATAACTTGCCCCATGTCCTGGTTTCAGCAGGGAGAGAAATCAACAGAACAGAGATCTAAGTTATGTCAATTGACAGTTACCTTCTAAGTGCTGGCATTCTGTGTCATCCTAATCTGCTTTTCTATAGCCCTTGTTATTGTAGTCCATGGGTGCACAAATGATAACTTGCCCCATGTCCTGGTTTCAGCAGGGTTAGAGTTAATTTCCTTCCTAGTAGCTGGTACAGTGCTGTGTTTTGGATTTAGGATGGGAACAAAATTGATAAGGCACTGATGTTTTAGTTGTTGCTAGGTAGTGCTTACACTGGCCAAGGACTTTGTAGTTTTTCATGCTCTACCGACTGATGCACAGGGAGCTGGGAGGGGGCACAGCCAAACTGGCCAAAGGGACATTCCAACCATGTGACGTCATGCTCAGTACATCAACTGGGGGAAGCTGGCCGGGGGGGGCCGCTGCTCGGGGACTGGCTGGGCATCGGTCGGCGGGTGGTGAGCAATTGTACTGTGCATCACTTGCTTTGTGTATTATTACTATTATCATATTATTATCATTATCATTTTATTTCAATTATTAAACTGTTTTTATCTCAACCCACAAGTTTTCTCACGTGCTTTTCCAATTCTCCCCCCCATCCCATCGGGAGGGGGGGGAGTGAGCGAGCGGCTGCGTGGTGCTTAGTTGCCAACCGAGGTTAAACCACGACAGTCCTTTTTGGCGCCCAACGTGGGGCACGAAGGGTTTTGAGATAATAACGGATTAACCAGAGCGTATTAAGGAACTTATATTTGTTAATAGTGGTGGGTCACAATGTTGGTTTCTCTGTTCTCGATATTGATTTGTATAATCTGCATCGTGCTCCTTTTTTTGCTGTACATGTTAAAGATTGGTGTTGGGTTTTGCAGTTTGCTGTGGTCTGGTGCGATTAGTGATGTCTCGGTGGGAAGAGAAACTTAAAACATCTTTGCCCAGTTGGTTGCTTGTTCTACCCAACATTCTTGAGCAGTGTGCTTCCTGCCTTTGACATTTCTCTGCCAAAGAAATGATTAGCACTAGATATTGGTGTCCAGTATTATGTCTGCATCGAGCTTCATGTTCTCAGTTGTGTAGCCAACTTTATAATTTGGAAACCACATGAATGCTGCATTAAAACTATATCATGAAGTAATTTGTAAACACTGTCTTTAAGATACCTGGGATATTTAAAGGGACATTTTTCATAGTCATTTAAGATTTTAAAATCATAATTACATTTGAAAAGATGAAAATTTCTGATTTAAAATGTTGGTTTTATTTCCTTGTGTAGCTATGTAGGAAACCTCTCCAGAGATGTGACTGAAGTTCTTATACTTCAGTTATTCAGCCAGATTGGACCATGCAAAAGCTGTAAAATGATAACAGAGGTAAGGCCTTCCACATCCAGGGGGATAGCAAATATAATGTAACTTAGGATAAAGTTGTGCAGAATAAATGGAGTTGGGGGCTTCTTTTGACATTATTGGTAGTGGGTTTTTTAGGTTGATTGTGTTTGGCTTTTGGGATAACTTTTTGCAGAAGAGACCTGTTGATGTGTATAGTCCTGTACTTTTGCCTGTAGCCCTGATGTACCTTTTACCAGCTGATGATGAGATTCCACTTTATTGAAAGGATTGTTACCCCCTCTTTTCAGAGCAATGTTGTTCTGATGATCAGAAACCTTATTTGTTTCAAGTGCTATTCATGGCTATTTTGTACATTTTTCACTTTATTTGAACATAAGCCTCAGTAATTCTTTTCCCTCTCAAATGCTTCTTCACTATGGATGAAAAGTATAAAATCCTTCAAAATAAGTTCTGCTCTTCCTGAGCCTCTTCTGTGCCAGTGTGAATAGCTCTTGTCTGCACCTGTCTGTTCTTAAATTAATTTTTTCTTGAAACAAAGTGACAAAATTTCCGTAGTATTCCAGATAAGGTCTTTTGTACAAACTGGTGGTAAGTATTAATACTTTCTTCTCTCAGTTGTGAATACTCTGGTACATTTAGGGTTGGTAGCCATTTCTGTGATCTTGTTGGCACATCCTAGGCAGCTTCTCACTCCCTAGTATT